GTATTTTGTTATTTATTTTGTTGTTTTCCAAGATGCTTCCCACATGTTAGTTATTTAATCTCCTTGGAATTTAAACTTGTTTAACCACAAAGAGAAATGAAGTAATTTTCCTAAGTTGTATATGAACTAATCAGCCTTAGTTAATTAACTCATTACTAATTACGTTTTGCAAATTGTTCCATTAGTCTGATAGCACAAGATTCAGGTCTGAGCTTTCTCCTTACACACCTGCTTAAAATAAAAAGTGCTTCAAGTAGACTTATACCCAAACACAACCGTGTATCTGCTTCATACCTAATAAACTCCATGATTTGTAGCACTAATATCCTTTGCTTCCCTCATGTAATGTCTTTTCTTCCCCAGGTATATAAGTTGAGACATGGGAGACAAAAGGTCAAATTCCTAAAATTAACCACATCTTGATTTTGAAAAGACATTTGGAATAGTATTTCTAAAGTTCACCAGTATACTTAATGAATTTAAAACCTTACAGTCAGACTCAAATATGAATTAACATTTTTTTAGAAAACATTTCAGTCTGAATTAATCTCCAGTCGGTCTCCAGATACTCTGAGACTGCCAAAATCTTTTTGCTGCTCAGTCATATTTCCAGGGCCAGAGATGGAAATATATTTTTATTTTAATATCAAAATAATTACAGTCAATATTCTTTTCTCTCTACCTTCCCTTCCAGGACAACTAAACTACCTCGGATCAAGCCACCAAATATGGCATGTCCTTGCAGTAGTGATGTTATATTGGTGGCATCAGTCAACAGTATATGTCATGCAGTACAGACATAGCAAGCCTTGTCCTGACTATGTTTCACATTTGTGAATTCAGGTATGGCCACCTGGTGTATTCAGTTATTAAGCAATATATAACGGGGAGTTGTATACCCCACTATTTCTAAGATTCCCATTAGTTTTTCCTTTTCCTTCTGGTTTGATATATCATGAGTAATACTTTATAAAAATGGAAAAATATACTTGGGGATCTGTAAGAGTAACTGTTTTATGGGCCCTTAAGACGACTAATTTAATGCTTGTACAGAAAGTGAAAATTAGTTGGCATTCATAACAAACATCTGAATGACAATGAATGTGAAGCCAGTGTAGAAATAGTACTCCTTTTACTGAACACCAGCTTAACTTCCTTAGGAAGGGCTCACCTCCATTATAAAATGGAGTCCTCTTGTGTGATTCCTTTAATAGGAGATACTTAGACTAGATCATCAAGTTTAAGTGCCTAATCAAGGCAAGGTTTGCGATAGCCTGTCACAAGCTGATACTGACTTTGAGTAATCACTAGCCTGTCAATGGATGGTTTGTGAGAAACTGGCACTTAAGATAGTATTTCCTTCAGCTGTAGGTTCTCTTCTCCCTAGGAACATTGGATTTTTTAGTTTGCTAGAACAAAAACTTTAAACACCTTCTCCTTTAAGTTGAGAGAGGCGTTGAGAAAGGGAAAAGAACTTGCATCGTCATTTCCCATCAGGTAAAAGTCATGTTAAGAACCGATTACATGACCAGGCAACAAATTCTGTGGTCTAATAACCAAGTTATTAGCCATTTAAGCTTTTCAATTTCAAATATTATTTAATCCATATAATAATTGAGCTCTTGGCAGTAGACGGTAGATTTGGGGTTCCAAAATTCCTGTAACAGAAGACTTTTCACTTCTCTTGAGTTTGCAGTCTTAAAGTTCCTGGTGATAGGGGTTCCCAGGTACATGGGTGCTACTTTCAAGGGCATAGAATCCAGATGGCCCAGTTCTTGACCCTGAAATGAACCTTAAGCCTTAGAACAAAGTCATGCAGATGCCCCAGTTGATGACATGATTATTCACCTGTGCTCTGGTCTGTCTCTGTTTATGCATGTGTTAGTATTGCACTGATAACTCACAGTATTGATATACACTATCTAATATTTGGGCCTGAAACTGCATTGTATATACTTAAAAAATAGATCTCGCTGCCCCATCATACAACATAGCACTCTTGTTCTCTGGTCTTTTCATATGCATAAGTTAAATCCCATAAAGCAGTGATTCATAAAAACATGTTGTTTATTGGAATATAAAATATTACCCAAGTTTCTTAATGGGTGGACATGAACTGCTTTAAATACTGGTGTATCTTCAGAACATTGGAATTTCTAAGTATCAGGAGGTGTTGACTGATGGTGAAGCTTATTCCCAAAATGTCATTTATACATCTGATATTTGGAATGTTAAGTTAATGTGCCTCAGTTTATGCATCTGTAAAATTTTGTATTTCTTTTCAGTGTAGTGTTTTTGGAATATGAATTCCCCATTCTAGTATCTCAGCAAGGAGAATTCTCCCCCAGTAGGCTAAGGGCACACCACATTATACCCCATATTATGATGGAACGCCACTTTGAAAATGGCCATTTTACCTCATAGGGCCAGAAATTTGATTCATATGTTAAGTGAAAGAAGATTTTGGTGAAATGATAATAGGATATATTTTCCCTAAAGCATCCCTTATTGGCTTACATGGTATTATTGCTTTTAAACAGATATTTTGTCATTTTGGTCAAACAGAATATACTGCGTAGTTATAATTAATATAAAAAAGAAGGAGAAGTCTAGTTATTTTAGGTCTGGTGCCATTTTTTTATTATAAAATCTTCTCAGAATAAAAACATATTGAACTTTAAATTTCATTTTCTTTTCATTTTTAGAAATAGTCTTATTTTTTGTTATAGTGTATGAATTATTTAATACTTGCCATCTGAATTAATCGATAAAAAGACCATACTTTAAGACTGTTCTTGAATTTGAAAAGCATACAGGTCTGACTGTAAAGGAGAACTAAATTATACCATGTAAACATTTCATCTTTTTATGAAAATATTAAATATTGTAAGAAAGTTCTTTTTATCTTTACTATAATGTACTTATTAGGGAATGAATGAATGAATGTGGATTGCTGTCAACTATAAACACTTCTGTATATCAGCATTTATTGACCACCTACTGTGTGCACATCACTACTGGCAAAATTTTTAAGACGTTAACATTAAAGAATATTTAAAAATTGCCTATGAATCTGAGCCTTGTAATAATGTATATTTATTTTTGTTTTGTAGATTTATTAAAATAAGATTAAAAGTACACTATTCAGCTACAGTACTAAAAAAGACAGGTTTTAATTTTACCAGTGTGTAAACTATAAAAGCTCTTTACCTACAGATTTACATTTTAAAATTATTCATGGCTGTTTTAAATTGTCTATAGTGATTTGTAAGGTTGTAGTTAATTCATCTAAGAGAATTATCTTTCTATATAAAACCACTTTCAAATAGCAAGATAGTGCTTGTCTTTCTTGTTACACTGAGTGCGGTTCATGAGCTGCATGGCAAAATATGTATTATGTAAATAAACTGGGTTTACTAAATATGTTAAGTGCTGCTTGTCATTCTTTATAATACATAACAGCTTCACAATCATATTTTAGAATCAGGAATGAAGCTTCAGGGAATGTGTGTCACATCTTAAAGGCATCCCGCCTGGACAGAGTAACCGATTTGAAGATTGTGATTGACTGGCATAAAGCTGTACAACTCTCCATTTGGCAGGTACCTACCTAGAGATATCCTTTGCCCTGCATTAAATATCAAGGGGCAAAGCCTGCATTTCTGGATTCCTGCTGAGCTGAGTAGGTCTGTATTCACTTGTAATCATCGTTCCGGGTAATTTTACCCCTGCCGAAGCGTGTGCAGTGAAGAATCAGCTCAGCTGTTAGGGGAGGGGCAGAAGTGTCTTTCTTTTACATGCATTTTCACAATAACTGTGTTTACACTGAAAAGAGCTACGGATGCTATTGGGTACTAACATCCCCTGAAATTCTGTACCGTGATTCCTTAGTAGGATAGCGGGAGAATGATCCAAAACTGAAACTACCTTTGAGAAAACATTTTTAGAAAGGAGAGGTGGCAACAGTGGGGGTCTCTTATGAACAGTGAAACGGCCATCCTTAAGAGGACAGGAATGACAGCCACCGAGGTCTAGTCATGCTCCGCAAACCCGGGATCAAAAACACTGCAGAACACACGTGTAAATTCAGTACTGCCAACTATCTAAAGCAAAAGTGAACTAGCAATCATCTTTTTAAATGTGCAACAAATAGAGCTTCAAAAGCTCATGCTTTCAACAGGAGAATATTATCTGCATCTTACATATGATGCTGGAGCTGGACTTCCTGAAAAAGGGATGTGCTTACGCAAAATAAATAGCTCTAACTGCAGCATGTATTCTTCTCGAAAGAAGTTAACTATAACTGAACTTGAACAGTGGCACATCCCACACTGTTCTTTTTAGATAACCTTTATCATCCGATATTTTGCTCCTTTGTACCATTTATTAAAAAGAAACAAAGCCCTTATTTTTCCACATAACTTTAGGTAAATGTTACTACTTCCGAAAAAAAAAAAGTTCATTTCTAACAAACAAATAAGTTGAATCTTTCCACAAGCCACCAATCTAAAACTCCAGTTTGTGGAATAATACATAAGATAATATTGCAATCTTGACGCCAAACTTAGTCCATCAATCCAATAAACAGTTTTCTCTTTAACATGCCAAAGCCTCTTTCCTGACATAATCAAGGACTACAGTATTTTATTTAAAACTAAATATTTTTTAACAAGTTAAAATGTCACCAGTTTTTAAAGAAAGAGTTTAAAAAATAAATTATATGTAATGCAAAAACTATGCCAAACATTCAAAAGGTACTTCAAAGTCTTATGTTTTTGCCATACCTTCATCATTGTAAGTATCAGTAATTGTAATCCCTGAACAAGTTGTGTTATTGTTTTTTTAGTGTAACTGCTAGGTCAAAACGTGTTTGCTTACTTAAATCCAAAACTGTGAGCCCCTTAGAAGAGAGATCTAATCTTACTCATTTTTCTATTCCATTAGCTGCTGCATAATAGGTGCTTAATGTCTGTGGTGTAAATGAAAGAACTGACTAGAAGTTTGCATCCAAAACTTTTAATAAGATGACAAATAATGAAAAACTCTGAAGTCACTGATTATAAAGAATATGCAATCCATTTGGGATTTATTGCATTTAAAGAAAGCAGATTATTAAAACAGTAGGTATGATAAATACAGTAAGAAAATAACTTTAAATTTCAAACAAAACGAAGTGAATGAGGGACAGGATTCAGTCAATAAGAATAAGCAATGTAAAGGCAATATAGTACTAAAATCAGTTAGTGCTTAATTAGATATAGGAAGAAAAAAAAAAAAGCAACTGATTCTGTCTCATAACAGTTTTCCAGCTGTATGTGAGGACTGAAGTTAACTTACTTTAGAAAGTATGTTTTCAACAATTAGAAATATAATAAAGATGTAAATCAGGTTTATTAAAAGTTAAAGTTATTTGCTTAGTGGTACATAAAAGGCTTCAGAAAATTCAAGTTTAACAAAAAATGGAAGTGTAATCAAAGAAAGTGCACTTAAAGCTGTTTGCCAGCAATTAAAAAGTAGCTTACTATTACTATTCTGCTTACTATTAGATGACTTTTCAATCACAAAAAGAGCATAGGAATAAAAACAATTCTCTTTTAAAAGTAGTACAATAAATTTTTAAATAAAAATAACCCCAAATGATGGCCGTTTGCATTTTCATCTGTCTACCTTATTCTTTTAGTGGCTTTTGTAAACCCTCACCAGGAGTGAATGTTCCTTTAGTAATGATTGTGGTTGCAATTCCATTTAAAATTTAAAAATTCACATTAACTCCACAGTAGAGAGGTGTAACATGTACAAGCATGTGTGCGTCTATATATTTACCCTAATATATAAACAGCACTGTGTATAAAAGTTTTCAAATAAACTATCATTATGTTATTCTCACAGTAGATCTGTCAGCTCAACATTGGACCTAAAATGATGCGTAATTTTGCTAAAAGAAAAAAAAAAAGGAAGAAAATGTTTACTGCACATTCTATATATATTAAAACAAATGTACCCAAACTCCTCAGAACTAGTGATACTAATACACGTGTACCTTCTAGCAATGCTGATATGAAGTACCACAACCTAAAATAAACCAAGCAGAGAGGCTGGATAGTAGGAAGACTACTCTGCCTGATGAACACCAGAGTAGAGGAGGGGCTCCACCTTAGTATTTCCCACCAGCAAGATGAGGACAGCAGTCTATCACTGTCAAACGATAAACAGGGTAGAATCAAAAGCTGCTTCTATCTACAATTCCAAATAATGTCGTAACTGTGTCCACGTACACACACACACACACACACACACACACACACACACAGGGATGGGGCGCGTCAGTGGAAGAATCACACTTTCCCGATGTATACTTTTGAATAAACATTCTAGTCAGTTAAACCTCTCCTCCTCTGCCTAATATCTATACCAAGCAACTTTTGTGTCTTAGCAGATACATTCCTCAGTGCCATAAAAACTGATCTTTTTAACACTAACATTTTGCTGAAGTGATAATATTAAAATAAGCAAATGGTCCACTTTTAAAAAGATGATTCAAAATCAATAAGCATTATTAAAGCTGTTAGGACAGAAATAACTTTGGCCTCAGACTTTTGCTAGCTTCATAATATTTTACTTCCCTTAGTGATGTTCAAGTATTACAGGTTTAGAGTTATGACTACTTTACATGCTAAAGAAGCACAGAAGACAACTGATTAATAGGAACATGATTTCTTTTCAACTTTCCTTCCTTAAGCAAGAATTGGACCATCCCACAATAGAGCCAAACTTTTACTGAGTGCTGTGTACCAAGTATGTGTTAAGCTCTTTCACACGTCTTGTGAGCTTTATTCTCATAATTCTCATAAGGGAATTACCTGGGCATCAGCTGTGTGGAGTGACTTACATCCTAACAGTAGTGGGAAAACATGATGGGAAATGGAAAGCAACCCTAATCCTGTACTCCTTGGGAAAATGCCTCTACTTCAACACAAAGGAATCTCCCCATTTCTCTCCCATTGGGTCCCCTATTAAGTCCTAAATGTCTCTTCTGAGCTATAATCTCAAGAGAAAAGTCACTGGGCTGTGATATAATAAACATAAGAAGGTAAATATTTTAAACAGTGTCAAAGTGTTTCCTTAGGATTTATCCAGCATTATAAGCCAAAGTGTCTATCAGTATCTAAATCATTTAAAATTATTCAGTGTATTGAAAAACAACTGTAAGCAAGGCCTTGGTATCAGACAGACTCTAGGTATTTCATGTTTACATCCCAAGGAAACCATACTAGTTCATCTCTACCCCTTCTAAATTAAGAAACTCATGAGGTCTAGCAGAGACCAAGGCTAAGGACTAAAATAGTCAAAGAAGCATACTGTGTATACATCAACCAACAGATTTCATTAAAAAACAGATTCTGTTTGATACAAACCTACTGTAGTTCATGAATTTACTATGTGTAATCATCAACTCTTCACTTTTAAAAGAAAGTATCACTTGAATCTACTTTGTAAAGTTTTCAAGCACATCTACTTGAGCATTTGCATTAGCAGTATTAATCAACCTGAGAATCAGAAAAAAAAAAAAAAAGGTGCAAACATAATATTTGCCTTTGGCACAAGGACAAGTAACTGGTGCACTTGGGCTCTAAAAGTACAGCTTTTAAAGCAGTAACGAATGTCATGCTTGGTCTGCCTCTGCTTCACTCTGATTCACATACTGCTTCCCCCTTTGTCCACAAAAGTTGTATCTGATTTAAAACATAAAAAAGAGAGAAGCAATAAAAAAAATAGATGGCTTAGTTACATATACTTTGCTTCTTCCCAAATTTAGAACTGTGAAAAAAACAGGCAAATAGCTCAACCCAACTGGGGCACTATAATTAAGAGATTCTATTAAGATTACTCATAAAATACATTTTAATTGGGCTCAAAGAGAGTTAACTTAAAATAGAGCAATCGAGGAGAGTGAGTGCCAGTTGAAAAGAGTTTTCACCCTTTTTTTGTAAATAGCTTTAATGGTTCTAGAAACCTCTAAATGTTAATTTGATAGGGAAGGACAGTTAATTATAACTTAAAATAGTTGGAGACACAGGAAGCACACATACTCTATTCACATTAATTCATAGACGTGATTTCTATCTTATTAAACAACTTCTATAAAACCTCAAGTTTCTAATTAGGATTTGTGATGTTAAAAAAAAAGGCAATTTGGTAGCTGGGTTCTTTTCACTAAAGACACAATCAGCTAACTAGCAGAGTGGAGATGCTAGCCCCTGGTCATCTGACACCTCACAGCCACTCTCAGATCTCGTGTTACTAGTGCAGAGGTATTTGCGGCAGGATGCGCAAGTCCTGCCGGTAAGGCTTTGTGGGTTTCGCTGTTCTGTGCACTTTATTAAAACTACTCCACCCTCCAGACCTAACTCAGAAATTGCTGCTCACGACTTGGGGAATAGTTGGCGAAGGTGGTAATTCAATAAAGCACATTATTAAATGCCACATGATTTTACATTGTAAACGTCTCAAAAACTCAGGGTTTTAGCTACATATTTTTCCCTAAAATAAAATTTCTATATGACCCTTGTCCTCATTCCCAGTTTTTCCAATAATCTGCTTTACTAGGGACATGATAAGTTTTGAGCAAGAAGCCATTCAACACCAGAACATAAAGTGTTCCTGAAGTAGAGTGGTTTTTTCTTTGTATCATTTTTTTCTCTACATTTTTCCACCTGTCAGATATCTATCCTTAGTTTTTGTTCAAGGTGTCTACATAGATATTCCATATTAATGGCACTTGTTTTTTTAAATGAAACAGTTTTAGGCACAACAGTCAGTGACCTCTGGCTCCGCTTTGTAGAGAAAGGTGTAAGGACTAAAATCTCTGCACTCTCCAGATAATAACTTTCTCATTCTTTATGAGAAGTGGATTTTTTTCCCCCAATGTGGAAATTAGAAGAGACCTTAAAAAAAAAAAAAATCCACAAATGCAACTTGTGTATGTACAAACAACCTTAGTTTTAAATGCTGGATTCTGGAATGAGCCTCGGATACACACACAAAAGTGACATTCTGTTATAAAAATAAAGCTGCAGCTTTCCAGTCCCTTTTCAGGGACTACACGACTGGAAAGGGCCCACACACTTTCCCTGGATTTCTGTGCCTTCACGTCTGCAGCTGAAACCCCAGGTTAGAGCTTGCCATTTCACTCCCTTTGCTCCTGCGTGGAAGAGACGTGGAGTTGCTACCCTGTGCAGATACTTCCTTTTTCTATTTGGTTTATTTAAAAATCACCTATTCTGATTGACCTGTAAGAATGAATGATATAAAGAGCTATACAAATAAATTTTCTTTCAAATTCATAAAACTATTCATACTTTTTTCTTTGAAACAGGAGTTAATAACAAGAGTCAGAAGTTATCTACTGTTTAGAAGGAAACGGAGCAGCACCGAATGGGTCCAATTCGACTGGCTGGGCCTGTTGGGACTGATGTGAGGTGACGCTTTGCACCACGAGTTCTGTAAAGGGCACGGCACCAAAATCATCCATTTTCAACGCATCTGCCCCGGGGAACGACCCGTGGAGTGAATTCGGCCTGGGCCGCCCGGGCAGGACAGGGTTGTGGTCGGCACGGATGTCGCTCAGGCCCTGATGCGGGGGGTGCCACGGCAGGTCCGGAGGGTGGAACGGCTTGGCCCCAAAGGGGTCCAACAGACCCTCATCGGCTTGCAGGACGTGCCCTCTGTCCTTCCCGTCGGTCAGGGCAACGCTGATGTTCTCCTTGGAGTCCGAGATGGTCAGAAATTCATTGCTGCTCTGGGAGTCCCGGCGGCCCACCCTCTTGTGCCTGCGGGCCCTCTCTGGGGTGCGGTAGGCGGGTTTGGCCGGCTTTTTGGCACCGGTGGGCGTGCCGTGGTGCCGCTTCCCGTTACTCTTGGCCGCCTCCTGCTTCGTGCGCCTCTGGCGGGAGGACAGTTTCTGCAAGCTGCGCTGCTTGACTTTTTGCTGCTGACTGCCGGTTATCTCCTCAAAGGGCACCAGCCCAAAAAGGTCCTCGTTGCTGTCGCTTTTACTTGCTGATGTGGGCAAGGGCTGGAACGGAGTGGAGCCAAATATATCCACACACTGCGGACGAGCGGGGAGCGCAGGCGCGTCGGGCACGGGCACCTTCTTGCTGAAGGGCGCCTTGGTGAAGACATCGAACTCCTCGGGCTCCAGCCCCACGGCGGGAAGCCGGCTCTCGGGGGAGGGGTCCTTCTCCGGCTCCCCTTGGCGGGGCTGTTGAGCACGTGCAGCAAAGAAGGGGACGGCGCCAAAGACATCAAACTCCGGTCTGGGAGTCCCCGCCCCGACGTCCGAGGGTAACTGGGTGGGCGTGAGGACTGCTGCACTAGGATCCTGGATCGCTCCGCTGCCAGATGTGTCTCTGTAGACCGCGCTGGCGTCGCTATACTTGGCTTTGGCCTGCTCGTAATCCGAATCGGAGCTGTGTTTCTCTTCTTCTTCCTCATCTTCAGAATCCATAAGCAGAGGCCTGTGACCCAGATTTTCCGGCTCAGTATCGTCATCGTTAAAATCTCCTTGTTCTCCCTGAAGAACTTCTTCATCCTCTTGCTCTTCCTCTTCGCTGCTCTTAGGAGAAGGGGGATCTGATTCAAAATCACTCTCAGATTCATCGTTCCCCTTTTGCAGTTGACCGTGTACTGATGAATTCTCTGAGGTTTTCTTTCCAGTCCGGTGGTCTTTAGATACTGGGCTTGCTTTTGTATTCTTGATAGGGTTTTCAGTGCTATTTTCTTGATTCATGGATGAATGTTCAACTTTCTTTTCAGGAGAACCTGCAAATTCAAAGAAAAATTATTATATCATTCCAATGCATTTCAAAAAACCATTTGCAGTAAACATTATGTACTAACACAAAGCATTACAGATCACTCATGGCAGTTCCCTTAGAGGAAGATGTAACGGCAGTTCTTTATCATTAGGCTTGAGGGGGGCGGGGATGCACCTGGCCTCATAGTCGATGGTTAGGTCCTTCAGTGCAGACAGACTTACTTGTCTCTCTACCCTACACACCACCTACTCACCATAGGTGCTCACTGACAGCTAAGTCTTACTTACAGTACCCAGAATAGGACTCTGAATACAGTACACAAGCACATTTTCTTCTTCCACCTTCAAAATAAGATTATCCAGTCAGTTGCCCTGCTCAGACCCCATGTTTGCCCAACAGCCTTCTGCTTATATTTCAACTCTGTTATGAAGTTTTCCCACAGAGATCAGCAAGCATGAATAGCTTATCTGCTTAGTTATGTTTTGCTGTGTAATTTTTAAATTGGCATTCTGGTGTTTTTTTGTGAACAAGTATCTTATGAGTTGGGTTAACATGAGTGCATCCCCAGAGCCTGATCAAAACTAAGGACCAGCTACTGAACTGAGACGGTACCAAGGACAGCTGCCTTCCCTAGATGCCACATCTTCCGTAAACTGTCATACCTGTACTAATAGACATGATATTAAAAGCATGCTACTTTAATAAAAATCTTAACTATCAGTATGTTCACTGTATGATAGGTAATAAAACTGTATCAAATACAGTGCTCTACAATTTCACTGTATGATATACAGTAAAGATAAACAGTATGTTAGTTTACATGAAAACATACAGCCCTCCCAATACACTGGTGTACTGAATTGATTTTCCAGAAGTAGGAAACAATTTGAATTGATCCAACCACATATCCATTTATCCCTTCCCCTCTAAGATCAGATATTTTCAAAACAATTAGCTAGGGTTGGAAGTATAGTCTTTAGTCATGGAAACTAATTATACCTTATGACGGAAGGACCATTTCTTTTGCGTTATTAACAAAGTGGTCTCCATGGCACAGGACACCTCTGAGTTATTTCCTTCTCTTTGAAAGTCAGCACTGTTGTCTTTCCCACCTCTCTATTCCCTCTTGGTCATATTTGTAGAGACTTCTCTTTCACAAACATCTCCCTACACATGTATGCTCCCCAGGGTTCTATCCTTGGCTGTCTTTCTCCCTCTGCATGTCCTGCCCTGGGTCCTAACTACTTGTATGTTAATCAGCATTTACACAGTAATGAGTGGACCTCTGATTCTTTCCATGAATACTCATATATCCTATTCATCTAATACTTATCATAAATATGTATCTCCTACCATTACTTCAAACTCAGTAATTTCAAGAGATCATCTTTTCTCTTAAAATGTGTCCTCACCAGTCCCTCTAAATTAGTGAACAACACTTCCATCTACCTACCAAGTTCTGAAAACTAGCAGAAATCTATAAATCATATTCCCTCTTCCCACCAAATAGTGTTTTTAGACTCTGGAATCGGGTCCCTCCTCTCCCTCTGCCAGCTGTCTATCCCATCCCCTCATCTTCATCCAGCAACTCCTTAGCCTCTAAACTTGCCTGTCTGCCTCCAGTACCATATCCCTCAAACTGCTCCTTTACACTGTCACCAGAATAACCCTTCTGACACACTAATCATGTGGCTACTGCTGAAAACCCTTCAGCGTCTCTCTGAGGAAAAGGGGATCCACCACTGAGCCCTCAGGTATAAACCATTTAGAAGTCAACAGAGGAACCTGCAAAGCAAACAGGGAAGTGCCAGAGAGGAAGACCAAATGCAGGTGAGTGTAATGTTGCCGAAGCCAAGAGAGGAGAGTGTTTCCGGGGGAGGGAGTAGACAACTGCGCAGGGTGATGCAAAGAAGTCCAATGAACTGACGACGGAAATGGCCACTGGCTCCGGTCAGCTCATGCAGGTTGTTGACAACCGTGAAGCAGGGAGTGGGGAGGAAATCTAGTGGGGCTGAGGAGTGAGGGGGAGAGAAGATGTGGAGATTTCTATCAGTTATACTTAAATACAAATATAATCTTCATCCATTATTCATCTGCCAGTTCCCTGAAACCAGCCAAGAGTTATATGCTGTATCTTTACATATTCATAATAAGCTTATCTTAAATCCTAACAGATTAAAATCAAATCAAATGCAGATTTTCATTTGACTTCTCCATACAGCATACTTCTGATATTAAAAACAAAGATTACTTTTAGATTAGCCAGAGCATTTATTTTCATGAATTTTTATCCAAAAGCAAAAAATGCGATGGCAAAGACTTGCAATCACCCCTGACTTTAGGACAGTCCCTCTAAGATACACGTTAACTTAGTACCTCTTCAGGCACTTACCCACCCACAGAGAGCCACATGGGCACCCCTCCTGCCTGCTCATGGACGCCTCCAGGAACATTCCAGTATGCTTCCTAAAGTGTCTTCTGCAGAACGCCTATTCCCGTAACAAGAACCAAACAGTTCTGTGGTCTCAGGCGCATGAGTTTATGAAATGCTGCACTTTACAATGTACCCCTCACCACCACCACTCACCTGGAAAATGCTCATCGTACTAAAGGTGCTGACACATTGTACACAGAAGAATCTGACTGAATGAAGCCTAGGGTTTCCCAAATTTGCTTCGCTACAAACACTTTTATTTGTTACATGTAACACCTATTAACCTTTATAAACAATTTTGCAAAAAGCACTTAGGGAAAATGCCGCTCGACAATTTCCCTGGAAAATGTTCCATTTCTAGGGCACAGAGTTCTGTTCCTAGAAATCTTCTGGAACATTTAACATAGGACAAGAGTCCTTCACTTGACCTTCTCTTGGTATTCTTATATTAATCCTCGTCTTCTAAATTAACTGTCTCCTTTACCCAAATGGTCAACATTGCTTTCCAGAACACATTTGTCACTTTCTACTCCCTGCTCTGTCTGCCTTTTGTCAGCTTCTCAAAGTTGTATTAATACAGATATGTATTTCTTTGTTGTAAGGTGCTATACAGATCTGCTTTTTAAATTGTCAGTGTGGGTATAAATTTGTAGGGTTTCACTTACCATTTTTAACGCATCTTTTACAGGTATCAACATAGTCCATTTAGTAATTCTGATAGAAACATAATAAAACATTGTATGTATAGCATTTAAGTATTCACCTCTAGGTTGTTTTACATCTAGGTTGTTTCTAGTTTTTCAGTATTTTAAACAGAACCATGATCATGCACTTTTTCTTTGAGAGGAGAAAGAAAACCCCTTTTCTAATCATAATTTATCGATTTACTGTTATTCCTTCCTTATGCAAAATCAATACAGAGCTAATCAAGTTAACCTAGTAACAATCTCTACTAAGACCACAGCTAAATCCTCTCTCTACTCTGCTCCCTCATACGTGAGGGAATATGTAGTATTATGAGAGAATAATATGATAATAACAGGTTCTACTTTGTAGGACTGTTGTAAAGAAAGGACTTAAAGTAGTGCCTGACTCAAAAGCACTTGGTAAAGTTAACTGTCCTCATCTCCAGAGCAAGGCCAAACTCAATTATCTCATACATCATACTCCAACTTCCTACCTACTTTCTGGACCCAATGGTTGTGGGCAACTGGGGAAATTTCTGGTTGGTGTATACAGACTGGTTTTATTTCTTTTATTGCCACCCCTTCATAAAACTAAAACAAGCAATCAAAAATATTTATCCAAATTCCTTTTTTCTCCCATATTCTCAGAACCTACCCACCCTGACCCTGCTTAAATGTTTCTCTACTTCTCCATCCTTCCACTCCTTCATAACCTAACATAGAATCAAGAGCAGCAATGGGCCTCTCTGCCAGCATACTAAGAGCAGCTCAAATATGAAGCACCATGAAGCGCAGTCTGAAGTACAAGTGGTTATCTCTCTGTAGCACCTCCTGCTGGGGAAAAGTTACGCTCCAAAGCTGCAGGTTACAACCATCCTAGATAAAGTCTCACTTTCTGGGACAACAGCCATCCACTTAATTTTCCTCTCTTCACTATGAAGCTGTAAAAAACTGAGAAAGAAATGGAAATTAAAGGGGGGGAGGGATAAATGAGAGATTGGGGTCAACATATACTACTATATATAAAACAGATAACTAATAAGGACCTACTGTATAGCACAAGGAACCCTACTCAATACTCCATAATGACCTATATGGGAAGAGAATCTAATAAAGAGTGGATATATGTATATGTACAGCTATTCACTTTGCTGTACAGCAGAAACTAACACAACATTGTAAATCAACTATACTCCAATAAAATTTTTTTTTAATTATTTCAATATATTCTAAGACTTTTAGTCCTGTTCCAAAGGCACAAGACTGTCAAAATAAGTATTACAAGTTAGAAAGTTGGTTACCAACTGTACAATGTACAGTGGTTTAAAATGTGACTTCATAGCTGGGTGCCATCAACTTTTAAAACCTATTTCTTTGGCTAAACATATTTCTGTCATTAAAAAAAATTCAGATATTCCTACTGTTTGCTCTTGGTGCTAGACTGCTTCTTCCAAACCGTTAGAGCAAATATTACACATTTGGTTTACCACGAAATTTAAATCAGGATTATTTCACTGCTTAAGTTAATTTCCCAAAAGTATCGCCTAAATATGTTGCCTTATAATTCAATATATCCCAAATCCTAATAATCCCTGTATCTACTGAGATTTGTGTTATTAACATAAAAATGGCTGGTTTTCAGGTAGGCAGAAGGGGAGCTGTAATATTTACAGTAAGCACCAGGAACATGTATTTAAAGCATAAACAAATGTCTAGAATGTGCCCAGGATCATACCTCAGTTGCATTTTTCTCCATTAAATGATATTGGTAAAACCCTGTAAAATTTCATATATTGACCAATCTTTATTTTTGGCTCTAAGTAGGGCATTCTTCTTTCCTTAAACTAAATACAGTAGAATGATAATTTGATGGCTTCTTGTCAG